TTTAGATTTTGGATGCCTAATGATAAATTGTTGGGAATGGAGAACCAGTTCATCCTGGTACCTACCCCCTGTATTTCCTGTTCTGCTAACTGTAGAGAAACCCTGAGTTCAAACAGTGTGTCACCTCCAAACATACTCAGGATAAATGGACAGTCCGGTTTTAAAGCCTTCTGAGCCTGCTCAGAAAGACAGTAATGCTTAATATTTTCTGGACATTTCTGGACATGGGCAAGCATAAAAAAAGCCTACTTCATTACCATGATTACCGGAGTATTGCTCAGTTTGCAAAGTATCAACTTACATTCGTCTTTAAAAGTTTTATATTGCAATAATTAACTTTTGTACATTTTCTGTCCAAGGAATTTCAAAAAATTATTTAAAGATACATGTTCATTTAATAATCAAGCAAAAATGAACTTTATACATACACATACTAGTACATAAACACTTTAATACTTACAGCCTTGAAACACCCTGGTAAATCATTGACCCAGTGTAAGCTGTACAAAGAGAAATTAACTGTTTATACACCTTAAAAATACAGAAAAATAAAGAACACCTGCTGTTTTTCATGTGGAATATGTTTTTTTTTATTTTTTAGTGCAGGGTTTACCCAGAAAAAACTTTACATAATGGCAGAAATAACTGTCTCTTATCAACTTATGACCACACTTTGATCAGTACTCACCTTAAACTGCTCACAATTACATCCAAAGAATTCTCTTTAAATGGGAGAAATTCTTCATCAACTATAAGTTTTTGAGTAGGAACTTCTGGTGAAACCTGTGCTTGTCTCTAAATAAAAATAGATGAACTGTGCTTGATTTTGACTTTATAGAAAAAGAATTTGTTGTTTTTAAGATACAAAAGTAGTTGCAAATGGATTATCCCGTTTATAGAAAATAATTATGAAAAAAATAGCTGCTTGGTTTCCTTCATTAGGTGAATCATTTCAATTGAGTATGCATTATATAATATGCATTTAACTTACCAGTAATTTTTCTGAGAGTTCACACTGATATAAAAATTTGACAGTATCTTTTAAAACATGACGGGAAACATATCCAAGTCCAGAACCTAGATCCACGCCTACATCAAACTCTCTACAAAAGAAAAGAAGAAAAAATCATTATTTACTATTAATTGGTATTTTAATACTATAACCTATTTAACTTAATTACCATATTAAATGGGCACTATTTTGTCTTTTTAATGTTTTATATTGTTTGGTTGTTTTTTTTTCTTCTTGTTTTTACCACTTTTAACAGCTAGAAGATAATAATATATCTTTTACCTTTTTATGTCTAAAAGTCTATCGTATGTTCTGTACCCAATCTGAATGATGAAAGACAAAATATTATTACACTGTTTCTAAAACATGTAAAAGTAACATGTAACTCATAAACATTTCTACAGGTTTGGCACAATCTCTTGATTTAGCTGTATGGCGTGGGTCAGCTTTATTGTGCACAGTGTATATATAGCTATATTAAGCTATTCAGAATAGCTTGATTTAGTTATTTTATTACATACTTTTCTCAAGTGTGTTATTTTTTAGCATGTACAAAAAGTACAAATAATGAAAACTGAGCTCTTCCCAATACAAATCACTCAAGACATCAAATTTTGTCTCCTTGAGAGACTTTGTACTCAAAGTTCTGAAAGTTTAGGGGCTGTTGATAAGTGACCAGTGACCAAGCAGTTACGTCTTGAATGAAATTATAAAGGAGGTCAGTAATATTTAACAGGATTAATGATAGGTAATGAATCAGTACAATGAGAAGCCATCATACTGATCCCCGCCCCAATGCACACAAAGTAGTGTACATGCAGTTACTCAAACAATGGATGTTCATCTTTTTGCACAAAAAAAAAAAAATCAAAAACCTTTAACATGTTAAAACAATTTCGGGTTGCCTTTTTTTTCCCTTTTTTTTTTTAGAGTCGATCCAAGTACACATGCTATATGAATAGCAAGGCAAGGAGCCTACAAGAGCAGCCAATTATATAGAGATATTCTTGCTAAATTTTAATTTAAATGTGGGCGGATTTATGTATATTGAATATATTTATTAAAATTTTGTATTTTTACTACGTTTCTAAATACCTCATTGAACGATGTCTTTGAGAGTAATGTTAGACTAGTTTGTGTGCGCAGGTGGATTGAGTTGGTTAGCATTTTCTTTGATTTACTATTGGTTAAGAATTTTCATTGGCTGTTTTCATAATGAACCATAAAATCAGGTCGTTCCTTTTGTATTATAAGCTAGCCAAATCTAAATTCAAATCACTGCAGATCCGGCGCCCTGATTAGACACTTCCACCTCGCACAAGAATCACCTTATATGTTACGAAAATAAATATAGAAACCTACATCGACATCTTTATTTCACTTGGTCACATAAATATTAAGCTTGTTAGAATCGCCCTTTTTATTGGATGTTGTAATAATGTTTAAGTATAATTTGAATTAAATTTACCAATAATAATAATGACCTTTAAGACAATGTTTATGTATTACTTTGAATATTAATCTATGAACCACAAAGCAGGAGGAATAATGTGAGATGGAAATTTAAAAACTTTAAAAACAATTCCAGGATGCTTTTTAATCAAGGATGTATTATCAAACCCAAATCTTGATTTTGAGAAGACATCGGTATAAACTGAGTTGATATTTCAGCATTCGGCTCTGTGTTTGATGACTGTGGCTTATCTTGAGACTTTGTACTAGTATTTTTGGAGTCTGTGAGAGCAAATAAGTATTGATAGAATGTCTTTGCAACTTTTTTAATATAAAATTAAAGCTTGTAAAAATAGTCCTTATTTTAACATAATTTATTAATGTTAAGTATATATTGATAAAGTAATATATAATAAAAAATGAAAATGGCATATTTAACGTTCAAAGTACTTTTTAGATTTTTACCGACAGTCAAGTATTGAAAAACTCAAAATTATACTTGAAAAACATTAAGAAACGAAAATGGCTAGGAAGGCAATTAGCTTTCGGTGTAGATGACAAATCATGAACAGGAATAAAACGCGGACCCCAGTTGTTATCAGAGAAGGGATTGGGTACTTAGAAGGAGTAAGCTTTCCCTGTTGACGGTCTCATCCGCCATCAACGCTGTACACCCATTCTCAATATAAGGGCACAAATGCCTCTCTGATTTTTTATAAAAAATGAAGTTCAAGATAACAGGTTTTCTATCAATTAACTTTGAAAGAAAGTATCTGAAGATTTTGTTTCCAGATTTTTTTCATCAAATTATAATACATGGAATAATGACAAGACGATAAAGAAGAGGGTGATTTTATTCAGAAATGTAGCTTGAAATGTACGTTACTCTTTCTTCAATTTCTAAAAAAAATATGTCAAAAAAGATGTAGTCATTAAAATCACAATTGGAATATCTCATCTTAACACCAGCACATCCTACCAACTCTGTCAGCAACATATTTTCGCGGCATACGAACGTGCGTTTGATTTTTCCTTTCAAAAAACAAAGGTTACTTTTTGATCCAGATGTATAAAAACATTTTTAAATATATGCTTTAAATTCTTCTCTCTGTTTTGTTAAGAGCGATCAGTTTGGAATCTTGTCATTTTTAATAGATACAGTTACTGGAACCTAACATGTACATGTAGTAAAATTCTATTTTGTAGTTACTGTCTTGTTTAACATATATCCATGCCGATTTAGAAAACTATGTAAATGTAACGTACATTTCAAGATATATTTCTGTTTAATAAAAAGCTTAAAATTCATCTAAAATTCATTTAAAAATTCATCGTTTTGTTTCAGTTTATTCCTAAAAAGATTCTCTTTGTAATCACATAGTGTTATATGTCACAATCACCACTATAAAGACACGATTGCCTCAGAATATGAGAAGGTAACGTACATTTATGTAAATTAGTCATAAGAAAATATTGAAAAAAAAGCTATTATTGACATAAAAATCATATCAATGAAGTGTTTTAAGGCAGTTATATAAGAAATCATAATGTAACAAACGAGGTTATTGTCATCAACTACATGACTGTCACGTCACTTCGGTAACGTTCATTTCACATAATATTGGGGAGTCCCCTCCACCTCAGTTCATTACCATTCTTTTGTGCTGTTTCGCTGAAATTGACACCGGTCGTAGCCTAGTTACTTCTAACTTGTGCAAGGGTACAGACAAAAAAATATGAGTCAGATGTATTTTGCTATGATCTAACAAATGTTCGTATTTGGTCATTGAAACTTAACATAAATCTATTCCGAATATATCCATCGACAGTCTTGTTAACAATTTCATTTAGTATGTTGCAACATCGTTTTTCAAAACACAAACATACGTGCTTTTCAGCAGATCTGGAAAAATATAACCCAAAATGCAATGATTCAAACAAAACTGAGTATTCAGTATTTGAAATGTACGTGACCGTCTTGTGTTCTGGGTTTATTTGTTTTGTTTCTTTTTTTTTACCAATTATAAGCCAATGCATACCTTGTTTTAAATTATCAACAACTAATCAATTAATATTGACGCAAAGTCGCATATGAAAAGTAAACAAACTGCAAAAAGGTTGCCAAAGATGAATTTAAGACACTTAGAAATATATTTTCTAGCATGTGGTAACAGTTTAAAACATTTACGAGGATTGGGGGTGCATTAAGATGGATTTATGTGGCCAGTTGTCAAATGGATTGTTAAGATAATTTTGTTTCGCTCGTGTTAACGTAATTCATTGACTAAATTTATAAAAAATGTCAGTTAGAAATACATAAAATGTACGTTACCATACATACATTTCAAATATAAAAATCAATTCTCTTCCACAAGCATACGTTAGACACGCAATATATTGATACTTTTTGAACCTGCATATCATAAGAAATGCATCATACAGGTTTCGTATTCAGAAAAATATACCATTTATCAAAATTATATTACATAATAATTGACCTTAATATATTTTTTTCCTCGGCAGAGACGATTCTTTTCATTAATTTTGGGATTTAGCCGACCTCCAACCTTTGAAACTTTCCTTTGTGTAAACATTCAAGTGTGTGACAGTATTAGAATACATGAAAAATCGCGCGAGATTCACTTAATTCGAATTTCATGGTAACGTACATTTCAGTCACGTACATTTCAAATGATCACTTTTCATAAAAAAAATAATTTTTAATTGTGTTAAGCAAAACGTCTTTGCCAGTTTACAGGATACAAGGGGTTGCTTATTCAGAGTCGTCTCATATTTTCTTATGTTTATTTTTAATATGTATTCTTAATGGAAGAATATAGGTAACGTACATTTCTTTCTTATCTCTACGATTGAAAATGTCTTTCATTCCGTAAACATATTTATAAAAGTTGCTCAAGTTGTTCAATTTCATGTTACATTATCTAAGTAGGAGTAATTAATCCTTTGAAATTTAAATTTAGCCAATCAATAAATAAAGTAGAACAAAACTATCAGATGTATAATCTTTGTGTTTGCTTGTAATGTGGTTGAAATAGAATTAAGCGACAGGGACATTGCACAATAAAAATTATTTATTATCACAAAGAAAATGTATTTATTGTTATGAAAAGAAATATATATGATACAAGGTTTAACTTTTTTACTTGAGAATCAAAACTATATATTACACAGAGGGGATTCAGAATAATATTTGCCTCGGCGACAGTAACGTACATTTCAAATAGGCTACTATATTTGAATTTTGAACTCCTTAAATACCCTTTTGGATCGATAATTATATGAATTCTTATTTATTGTTATATGACTATTTATAATGTTGATTAAAAAATTACATCAGTGGTATTTCTTCTAAATGAAAACGAGGCGACATTATTTGCGCCCTTATATTGAGAATGGGTGTGTATCGTTCATGTAGTCAAATTTAGTATAAAAGCAAACATCTTACAAATGGTATGATACAATATTGCATTTTTTGAATAAAATGAAAGTGTATCGCGATCGACCATAAAGCATGATGTTTTTAAACGAGACAACTATTCTTGAATTTCGTGTTTCATCAACACCTTTGTCAATAATTTACCCCTTTTTAGAAACCGTTCATATGTATGGCATGTTCCTGCGTATTTAATCAACGATATAATCACTACAGTAAAACTCGTTTAGTACGAACACGGTTAGATGTATAAAGAATGCACGGATATAGCGAAATCTCCGGCAAAATTTTTAACAAATCCCTATAAAATTTTACGGTTATAAAGAACTCTGATATATAAAGAAATTACGGATATATATAGCAAACTATTATTAAGTCCCGTAGAGGTTAAATGTAATGAAATTTACGTCTTCTTAATGAATTTTCACAGATCTCAAAATTTGATAAATTGAACTGACTTTATTTTGATCAAATATATGAATATAAAAACCAATTCATAAAAAGACCTAAGTTATTTAATGTGTGTTTTGTAATTATTGCTATTCGATATATATATGATAATAATATTGAAAGGAAAACATATTGCGAATTTGCTATATATATTTATACGAATTCGTTATACGGATGACAAATAACGGATATAACGAATTAAATTTACAAGTCCCACGGACTTTGCTATAAACGAGTTTTATACATTGATATGACGAATAGTATTTAAGCTCAAAAGTCCATTAAACAATACAAAATAAGAAGAAAGCAAATCCGGACCTCCAAAACATCGGAGTTGTTTTTCTAGTAAAATATCCACAATATGAAACAGATGTGTCAGACTTTGGTATCTTTTATCTCAAGCTCACCGGGATATATCACTTTGACATAAGAATGGAAATTACCATTGTTAATTGACAATATGTTCGTTGATAGACCTAAATGTCAAGTTGAAGGAAACTGCGTTAAGAGAAGGATATGGAAATAACGAACAGTATCTTTTTTTTCTTTTCAAGTATTAAGTTTCGAGCTAATTTTCCTTGATATGAATACAAAAAAATAGGTCTGTCAATAGCTGAGCGCAACTGGTACTCATGGGGATTCAATTCAAATGAAACATCATGTATATTTGGTGTGTAAACATACAAGGGAAGTAGGCGCTTATATCGACTTAATGAAAAATTGTAGTACTTCAGGTCTATATACATGAATATGTTCAGAGCACAAAGGAACTAAGTGTAAGTTTTGCTAAGTGTAGTTCAAGTTTCAATGACCCTGTAGTACTTCCAGTTTTACAATGGTGGTGTTACTAGCAATTTGTACCTGTTCATTTTGTTTTGTATATATACCTTTGGTGGCACAATTTATACCTAACGTCACATTTCATATTGCCATCCACCAGAAATATTGGAATAGACAACAATATGTGCCGAGATGGACTTTTTTCTTCCTGTGGAATGGGCGACAACGTTTGCCTTTTATATTGGTTCATTTTGTGATTGGCGACGATAAATTATTCAAACATACACATGCAGAAACATTCTTCAGCAACCAATAAATGTAGGGCACCAATATCTATAGTGAAGATAGGCACATATGTCTTCGGCGGCAGTAGGCATATGATTAAATTTTTCAGCCGACGACAAAAATTGTGACGACTACAATATACAGTGTATAAGAGGAATACATGTAAATGTAGCGTACTTGTATGTTCCTTTCTAAAATCTATGAAAGAAGGATATGAAGATAACGAACAGTTTTCAATCTCAAAGTCCATAAAACAATACACAAAAAGAGCAGAGCAAACACGGACCTCCAAAACATCAGAGGTGGGATCAGGTGCCAATAAGTACTTTCTCCCTCTACCGACATGAGCAACTTGAATAAGTCATTGTGTCAATTCTCTCTCTACATATATTTTCTATACATATATATGTATGAGAGTTTTGATCGTTTTGACTCCGCATGAAGTACTTGTTATATACTTGAAAAAAAAATTGTAGCTCTTATAAGCATGTTCACCAATGTATTTATATTTCATTTCATATTCAATACCTCTATTTCCGTCAGTCAGTCAAGTTCCTCACAATAAATATATGTTGTGCACATAATTAACATATTTGATATAATTTAAGTTTATAAAGAATAAGCCCTGTGAAATCTCTGGGGTGTAAATTTTCGTTCTTTTCACTACATTTTTTTATTAGTTCTAAACATTCTCTAAACGCAAAGTCCCCACAAACCAATATATTTTCCCTTAAACCTCGAAAATTTGACCCCACGAAAATATGCAATTCTACAGTAAGTTATACTGTTATGCTTTCTCTCTTACCAGTACTAATTAAAACCTGTTTAACAGGTGTCGTTTTTGAAGTTTCGTCTGTAGCTGCTGTTGAGTGCGGTATTAGCGATGAAGTGTACAAGACTGGTGTAGAACTCAAAACTTCACTCATAACAACTTTTGGTGTTGTTGATTTAGTGGCTTTCCAAGTGGAGAAAACAGCTGAGATTTGTGTTTTTCCTGTCTTTCTTTTTGTAACTTCTGTTATTGATGCTGTTTTTGTTGAAAGAATTATTTCTTTATTTGCAATGTTTGTTCTTTGAGGATTTTCCGTTTTCGTTGTCGTTGTTGCATCCTTTGTCATGGACGTCTTTGACATTGGTGATGGAACTTTTGTCGACTTTGTTGATCTTGTTGACATCTTTGATACTGTTATTAAATTATACATCTGTTTAATTTTATTCCGTAATATATCGTAATATATATTTAAAAAAAGATAATTCCCATGCAGAACTGTAAAGACGCCAAAGTAACAAAATGAAAATGAAAGCCATCTTTGTCTAAAGTTTAAATCAGCCAAGCAAAGAAAATGTTCAAAGTTCACTTGGAAATTAACTTGCTTGGTTAAATTTACGTGATTAAATCCTGTAATGCCCTTTCTCAGTAGTTTTGAACGCGTTACAACCAAATTCATTCCCAAGTGAACATTTGATCTTGGTTTTATTAATTATAATTATATTTGAGACAAATGTTCGAATAGAAATATTACACGTTTGATCCGTCAATATCTATGTCGTTGGATACAGTGATCAAGAAGTTAATAGGCCATCAAAGTGTGCTTAGCTCCAACATTAGGATGTTCACCGGGATGCCGAAATATAAAATATTATATTGAAGACGTCCAAGCTAGATCGACGTAACTGTTTAGTGTAATTCATTTAAATGACCCTTTATTATTACTTTAAGTAAACTTTTGTTTACTGAGTGTTCAAGTATCTAAAACAATTTATTTTGATTAAGAATTCATTCAAATAATGTCCTTCTAGATCAGTCATTCATTTAATAAAGTGGAAAGTCTACCTTTACTAGAAGGTATAATAATGGATATTTTTTGTCAATCAATTATGCATAGTTTGCTTTCAAAATTTCAGATCATAAAATTATTTTTGAAAGCCAATCGTTGTCAATATTTCAAACCTTTCAAATTTTATCTTAATATTGCAATATCAAATTTCTGAAGAAAAAAAAATTACAGAAAAATTTTATTTCACTAACAAAAAGATATTTACCTTTCAGACTTAGCTGAAAACCTTTAGCTGTAAGTCCGTCATGGTTAGAGTAGAGAGTGATCCTTAGTTTGTTTCCTCTTGCTATTCTATTTGTTGTTCGTCTCCCACATTGTTTAAAGAGTGTGAAATAGTAGTCATTGATTTCCTGAATCTATTACAATCAATAAAACATTATTAATACATGTAAATTATTAATATAATTACTTTATAAAGCTAAAAATTAAAATCAAAAACAAATTTACAAAC